AGAGAGAAAGAAAGAGAGAAAGAAAGAAAGAGAAAGAGAAAGAAAGAAAGAAAAGAAAGAAAAGAAAGAAAAGAAAGAAAGAAAGAAAAAGAAAGAAAGAAAGAAAAGAAAGAAAGAAAGAAAGAGGCAAGACAAATAGAGATGTTTCTTTGGTAGCTTAGCAAAAAGCTGGCTTTGTAGGTCTGAATTAGCTCAATGGAAGAAGAGGCTAAGAAGTGGAGTGGAAGCTCCCTCTTTCTAACAAGACCACTTTGTCAACCAGTTACACAGTCTCCTGGATGTTCCTTATCTCCCATCCCTAAAATTATAGGAAGAGTCATGGGGACAGCGTCTTTTTCTTAGGGTCCTCTCCATGACATGCTCCAGCTGCATCTGACCCAACCAAGCACCCTCTTCTGCTAAATAGCATGAGGATGGGGACTGGGTAATTTTTCAGCTTTTCTGCCTGAGTTTCCCCACTAGACCATATTTTAGATTACATTTAGACTACATAGTACTAGTTGCATGTGTGCTGGTGTTCCCTTTGCATAACAAAGGGAAAAAATAATTTATTTGGATGCAGAAATTCCTAGAAGGTGGAGGATTTTTAGGCTACTCTTACATTTCACCAAAGACCAGTATTTTCCTCCCAATTTGTCTTGGTACAGATCTAAGGGCTTCAATCTATGTGTCCAACTAATGTTCCACCGCTGGAAAGCCTATGGAGCCAGGCACAAAACAGCATTATGAGCTGGTTGGTCCTATAAAATGCCAGGGAAGGATTTTCTAATGAATTCATAAACAAGAAGACAGGTGAGTCTGACATCGGACCCAGTCAGGTTTTTTAAGTCAGATCCAGTCCAACTCTGGTGGGTTTCCAGATGCAATTCAGAAAAAGAAATGTTCAAAGTGTAGGCACTCATATGGCAAAAACTGCAGAGCCAGAATCCAACAGGGACTCACCCGTAACCTCCAGAGGCAGTGAGAAAGCAGTGAGCTCAAGAGGCTCAACGGCTGAGAGATTCATTATTGCAATCTGTGGAAATTTTCTACACATTCTTTCTTCTCCTCAGTCTCTAAGTAAGAAGTCTTCCTGAGATCAAGAATTAGAATGGGACGTTCAGGAACCTGGATTCTCAGCCTCAGTAATGCAGCTGCTCAGACACTGTCGTGGGAAGAGACTGCATATGACACAGCATCACATCTGGAGACAGACACTTCTTTATGATGTACAGTCCCACTCTTAGTCTCCTGTCCTTCTATTTTTTGAACCTCTCTTCCCCATAAACATCTATAAAGATTAGAGCAAATATAAGCACAAGTACTCTATTTTTGTCCCTGATGATAGATATGAACTTCGTCAAGTTACCTCTGTTTCCTATTCTAACTTGAAATAGTTTTATGGAAATTGACAGATTAGTAGTGCTATAGTAATATAAACAGAAATCACTATATATACATTTTATATACTGAAATAAGTCAATTTTAAAGGGTGTTACTATGTGTCTAGAGATCAAGCAGATGAGTCCAAAGGGAAACACTACTTAAAGTATGCCCAAACCACCAGGATAATTTGGTCTGATTTCAGATAAAATCTTCACTACGTCTGCTGTTTTTTAAGAATTAAAAATAAACTCCTCAAAGCTTAGAGATAAATAGATGACAATGTATGGTTTATGCTGCTAATGTGCAGTAGGTGAATCCAAATAGATTTATTTTTAAAACTGTAGGCAACTTAAGTTTTGTTTTGAGGGTTCTGTTAGAACCCTCTATTTTGGCTAGAAATAAAGGAAAGTAGATTTTCCTTTACTTGAATAGCCATAGTTCTATACAAAGAATGTGACACGGTCACATAAATTTTATTCTTATTTAGGTACATCCTATATCATATACACAGAGAATCTATATCAATATTTATAGATATATCATAAAACGCATGTGACATAGAACATCATATATCATGTATATCTGTGTGTGTGTGTATATATATATATATTCCTGATTGATTCTAATAGAGTTGAGTTGATTTATAAAATTTGTTTCTTCCTGGTTATAATCAAGCATATAAACCTGTAAAATATATTCTTTCTGGTTACAATTAGTTTTTTTTTTCTTTTCAAATCATCAGAAATTGAAGTCATTTCTTTAAAATCATAAAATGTAGGTTTCATTTGATTCTCAGTAAATTTATGTGTCCATTTCTGTTGAAGCTTTTATTTCTTTCCTATCAAACCTCATCACACAGTGAAGGTAAGAAGCATTCTAGTATTAAAAAAAATCATAAAGTCTTTTTTTTTTAATTCAGAACGTTCATTAAAGAAAATCTTATTTAAAGGCTTATAACCTTTTTGATTGAATGGGGAAAGGGATGAAGAAACCCTGAGCCTTTCCTACCCTCCTTCCTCCTACCAAGGAAGTCCACAAATGGACTCTGCAGATCTCCTAATGTTTTGTGGACTGTGGCTTGTAAATACAGCACAGGATATATACTTAAACTAAAAAAATTATCCATTGCTTATCTGAAATTAAATTTCAATTTGTGTTCTGTATTTTCACTTGCTAAGTTTGGCAACCCAATTTACAAACTACTATTTTAGTGAAAATAGCTCTCAGTTATATAACAGAGAATAGGATTGTCCCATAGTAGTATGTATACACATCTTGAACAAGTGACACTTCTCCAATTTCAGTTCTCCAACTAACAAAAGGGTATAATAATTAAGGCCCTAATTATTTGACTAGCTATTCTAAGAAAGAATTAGGCTTTATATAAGGTTCAAGATGCATGAAGTTATCATTGCTACTGTTTTGTTTTGTTTTTATTCTATTAAAAAGCACTAGCTACTAGCAGCATATCGAGTCATTAATAGAATGCCTAACAATTAAGTATTCAAAACTCACTCTGCTTTCTTCAAGCTGTATTGTAGTCTAAATGTAAATGGTTTAATAAATATTTTAAACAGAAAAAAATAAAAGAAGACAGGTGACTCCATCCGTGAGAGCAATGGTGTTAGGATAAAACAATGCTCTGCTTTGAATATTTTCACTGCTGGATGCTGAAACAAGTTAAATTATATACTACTTTGCAATAAGCTCCAACATATGATTTGTTATTCTCTTAAGTCTATGAGACAATTTCTTCTCATTAGAATCAAACAGTTAAATATTACTTTACATTTAGCCTATACTTGAAAAGCAACTACTGAAGGAAACGTTGCAGTGACTCCTTCTGTGGAGAAAACAACTATCTTTTAATTTATCTGCTTTATAAATCTAGATTTTTGCATCATTGCTTTTCTTTACATGAAGCATCTGATACCCTTTCTCTCATAAATTCATATTCACCCATCTTAGAAGCAACTCCATGACAGATGAATGACAGAAAGACTACAATTAATTATATAATTGTCTAGGGATTTCATAGAGTTAATGTATCTAATTTGGTCCAAAATAACAGATTAGATATCTAAAGTATTTGGCCCATGGAGGTATTCTAGGTACATAAATATATTTAACTGTACTCTAAGCCTCTATATTTTTTCACTATAAGATCTAACATCTTTTCTTTTTTTATTTCTTTATACTTATAAGGTACCAGTAAAATGAATTTCTGGAATTCCGTAGTACCAGTCAACCTAGACATGAAAGACAGACTTTCAAACACAAAAAATAATTAATCTTAAGAAGTATTAAAAAAAAGGAAAAAGTTTTAAAACCTTTAGAGAAGCTTAATTATGCCTATCATCCCAAACATCCTTAACTATTGTTGTCAATTAGCAATAGAGTAGCTATCCTTTTTTCACTATGTCTAAAAGGAAAAGGAAAAAGGCTAAAAAGCAAAGGAAAAAGGAAAAAGTGTAGAGAATTCCAGTGCCTACTGATATCTATGGTTTCCTTGAAAGGGATGGTGGTACGAGAGCACATGG